ACCACCGGTTATGGCCGGTGCTTGCCCGTACACGATGGGCACGCTGACCGATCCGCCGTAAGGTGAATCCTGCCGATGATTCGACGGAGAAGGAACGGCCGTGGTCGGTGTCGGCGCTGTCTCCGTAGCGAAGTAATGATGATGATGGTGTTGTTGTTGAGGAGGCGGTGCCGGTTGCTGCTGGTGGGGATGGTGATGCTGTTGCTGCGGTGGTTGCTGATGATCGTGGTAGGACAACGTGGGCGAGAACTCGGCAGGATAATGGCCAGTGGGGCAGGAATATACCGAGTTATCGTAACACTCTCCCTCGTCCATTTTGATGCCGAGCACCTGGAGCTCCTGTCTGGTGTACCGTTGAGTGTAGGTCTCTTGGAAGCTCGGCAAGGGTGTTGAACTGCGGCAAACGATACGAAATTTAAACGTTGATGGCCCTTCGCGTTTCTCTCAGCACCGATTTCGCTTCGTTTCGGAGGACGAACGTTAAATTTTGCCTACGTATTATACCTATGCGAATCGGCTTGAACGTCTTCCGGAAGTGGCGGTGCCGACGGAGGTGGTTGCGGTGCTTGTTGATGATGCACCGTTTGCTGAGCTTGAGCCGACTCGTCAGCCGTAGATACTCCTTGAGGATTGCCCAGTTGCAGTTCCGGAAATGGATCCAGTTCTCCTGGCAAACTACCCGTATCCGTGGTATCCGCGTAAGGGACGTTGAACAAGTCCGCCAAAGCGCCACCGTAAGAGTTCTGAAAAAACCACGTTAAACTCACCCTGTGCCGTTCGAAATTAATCCCTCGAAATACTGTACGATCACCGTTCGGTGACCGTATTCGCAATTTCGAAATAGCGATAACGTGAATTATTAAATACGTTAGGCGTCGTCCTGCGAATAGAGGGAACACCGTAGCCAAGCGAGGGAGCTTTTTTCTATTGTTCCGACAAAGTCGGACGAGCTTCGGCAAGCCGCGCGAGCGGCAAATCGAAGTACTCGACTGCAAGGCGGTAACATTGTTCGACCACAATTGCGAGCCGTGTCGAGACATCGATGTACAGTCGAGGTGCGCAGTGAGGATGTCGGAGAGGATTGGCGAAGCGGGTTTGTATCGCGTGTTGTCTATAACTAAACCTTCGGGCAGCCGGAGATTTCTACGAACCGTTTCTCGCGAATCCAAAGCCATTGCGCTTATGAAAAATCAATTCGTTTTACGAGGCATCAACTGTGATTCGCGACCATCGACAGACTCGAATAGTTCAATTTCCTTGCAACCTAAAATATTTACGAACGCCGTAAATAATTCATGAATAACGAAGAGCGTGCTATTAATGTCGATCAAAATTTCAACCGAAAACATTTTAATAAAAATACACGAATAAAAATAAAAAAAGTAGAAGAAGAAAAAGAAAGTGGAAAAATCTCGTAAAAGAACGTCTACAAATGGACTACTGGAGGATATCAGAAAGCGGAAAGGAGGATGAGGGGCGGATATTCAATTTGCCAGGTTGGTTCCGCTTCTGGTCTGACATTTCGTTCATCGCTCCCTCGAGAACCGACGATCGAAGTCTCCGTCTTTCGCAACCCTGACTACGTCCTTCTAAACGGCCTCCCGAAATCACCGACACCCCTTCGCCCCTCTGTTCGTACTTCCACCGTGCAACCGCGATATCGTATAGGCTGTCGTTTTAATATCGTGGATAGGTAATTTCGCGTACAAGCTGGACTAAACGTTGACCGTTTAATTACGCGTAACGAGACTCGCCGATTCCAACGAGTGAAACCGAGACGGAAAATCTGGCTTGACAGCGACGGGAGGGGGTAGAAACAGGTAGGACGACACTCGAGAGATCCGGGTACGTGGGCAGGAATGCAGATGGTGCACGATAAGCGAATGCAGATGACGATCGAGAACGTAGGAGGGCAGATCTTGTTGCGGGTCGAGTTAAACTCGCCGCTTCGAAGAGCACCGGGACAGATAAGATACTGTGAAATAGTGAAAGTACCGTGCGTTGCTCGACCACTCTGACGAATAGTTATACGGAAAAGTATCTCTGAAAAATGTTCATCCTTTGCTCTTCGCCACCAAAGCAAACGATTATTCTGATCTTGCAGACTATCGATAGAACTCGAGTTTAAAATAATAATATTAAAGTCTGATTATTATTATTATTATTATTGAAATTGAATCGTTAAATAACGAACACCGAGTCCGAGTATAATGAATTGCGTTATCGATCGCGGTAGGTATCACGGTCGACGAGAATGAGCTAGGAAAAAAGGGATAAAGGGTACTGTCTCGGAATTAACCGATGACACTTTATTCAGATAATAAAGGGGAAAGTTTCGCGCGAACATGAAAGAATACGATGAATGGATGGCTCACCTGTGCCTGAAGCAGTAGCATACTTGAGCCTACTACGTTGAACGCGGTGGTGGTCGTGGTTGTTGAATGATTCGTACAGGCGAGAACTGGAACGGTAGCTGGTGCCTGACGTTGCTGCCGTTGGCGATGCGGTTGCTGATCTACGTCGTTCCGTGTAATGGCCACCGCACGCTGGCTACCGTTGCTGTTGTCGCTGTCGCCGTTCGGCGAATGGAGTTGCCCTGCAACAGAATGAAACGATCTAAAGAAACGGTCTTGTTCGGAGTATTAAACCGGCGTTGCTGACCGTATTCGATTTACTTCAACGCTCAACTTCCTCTTCAATGAACGCCAAATACGTTGTGGTCTAGATTCAACGTAAAAAATTCTATCGAATTTTTGCGATGTTTCGTAACGCGTAAAGATCCACGAGAACGTGCCGTATTACTTAATCTACCCGATATGTTACCAGTTTCAACAATTTACAGCCCCCTTCGGGGCGACACAACGAGTCTACTGTAAAACGCTACTCTATAACAGCGAAAAGATTAACCAATTCCGAACGTCAACGAACGTTTCTTCCCTGACTCTTCAATGACTGCGCATCGGCAATATAAATTTCAAACGATTTTAATAACGTCTCGTTTATTTTCTTTCGATGGTAGAACAGTATTCTCGTACATAGAATGTATCGAGAACAGGATTCCGCAGTATTTGAAACGTGCAGTCTCGTTCATTGTCTACGATGAAACAAAAGGGATGTTCGACGGGAAAAGAAACTTTTTGACGCGAGTTCTGAAGCGTTGGATACGAAAGCGGGTTTATTTCTAGTCGTCGACGATACCGCGATCGTTGTTTCTTTTTTCGACAAATCACGTACAATATCTCCGATACTGAGAATGCCCGGCGTCCATGGTGATCATCTCTGCGATCGAACGACAAGTACTCGAACAAATTTTGCGAATTACAACCAGGTTCGAACTACCAGGCCAAAATTTGGCCTGGCAGCCGTTGAAATTCCAAAAACACTTTCGCCAAATCGATTTCTTCTCGCGATTCGATGTTATTTCTGTGGAACGGTAGCTGGTGCCTGACGTTGCTGCCGTTGGCGATGCGGTTGCTGATCTACGTCGTTCCGTGTAATGGCCACCGCACGCTGGCTACCGTTGCTGTTGTCGCTGTCGCCGTTCGGCGAATGGAGTTGCCCTGCAACAGAATGAAACGATCTAAAGAAACGGTCTTGTTCGGAGTATTAAACCGGCGTTGCTGACCGTATTCGATTTACTTCAACGCTCAACTTCCTCTTCAATGAACGCCAAATACGTTGTGGTCTAGATTCAACGTAAAAAATTCTATCGAATTTTTGCGATGTTTCGTAACGCGTAAAGATCCACGAGAACGTGCCGTATTACTTAATCTACCCGATATGTTACCAGTTTCAACAATTTACAGCCCCCTTCGGGGCGACACAACGAGTCTACTGTAAAACGCTACTCTATAACAGCGAAAAGATTAACCAATTCCGAACGTCAACGAACGTTTCTTCCCTGACTCTTCAATGACTGCGCATCGGCAATATAAATTTCAAACGATTTTAATAACGTCTCGTTTATTTTCTTTCGATGGTAGAACAGTATTCTCGTACATAGAATGTATCGAGAACAGGATTCCGCAGTATTTGAAACGTGCAGTCTCGTTCATTGTCTACGATGAAACAAAAGGGATGTTCGACGGGAAAAGAAACTTTTTGACGCGAGTTCTGAAGCGTTGGATACGAAAGCGGGTTTATTTCTAGTCGTCGACGATACCGCGATCGTTGTTTCTTTTTTCGACAAATCACGTACAATATCTCCGATACTGAGAATGCCCGGCGTCCATGGTGATCATCTCTGCGATCGAACGACAAGTACTCGAACAAATTTTGCGAATTACAACCAGGTTCGAACTACCAGGCCAAAATTTGGCCTGGCAGCCGTTGAAATTCCAAAAACACTTTCGCCAAATCGATTTCTTCTCGCGATTCGATGTTATTTCTGTTCCGAACAACATCCAAAATCGACTTATCGGTCGTCGAATCCTCGACGTCGACTGAGGTCCGCGACGTCGACGTTTCGTCCTATATAGGGTTGCTTCGACACCCTGGGGAGACATGAAATCATTGGCATTTAAAATACTACCTAGCTCATTCTATACGGACAGCCACCATGCCCCTGCTCGATTATTATTATTACGCGATATTATCCCTACCGTCTGGGGGATGAGTACGTTTCTGTCAACGAGAACTGTGATTGCCGTTTCTTTTTCTTTGATTTTCTTTATAAAACCTGTTAAACGAACATTTTCGAGTCACGCATAATATTTCTAGTATCGTTCAATCGAGTTCAGTTTATACCTTCGTTTAAAAAGTGAACATACTGTGGCAAACACTACTACGTACAGAATATTTTTAATATCAGTCTAGCAATTTTAGATACGAACCGACGTATAAAATTACAGGGGTCGATAATTCTGTGAAATGCGTCTCGAATGTAGCCAGTTTCTCGTGCAAAACGAAACGATACAGCGAATGAACAAAATATACCGACTAAACAGATGCGTGTATCCCTCTCGAGTATCCTCCAACCCTTCCACTAATCGACGAAGATACGAATCGTAGATAGTCACGGTCTCCAAATCTTCTGTTCGATTTAATTTCACAACGACTAGCGCGAACGGACCACCCACTGATTTTCATGTCGTAAAACATATTTCAGGCTGCGCGTAAACGATGTCACTGTAGCGAGGAATAATCAGGAAGGGATGTACAGGGTACGGAGCAACCAGATACGATAACGACACCCTTGCGAGGAAATAAAGGAAGCGTAAACGAGCGCCGTTATAAACATCCGATGGAATTATGCATAGTTGTTAAGTTCTAATAAAAAGAAAAAATAGTCTTTATCTCTTTTTTTTACCTCCAACATATCCTTCCGGCGAGCGTAACCTGTCGAAGGCAAGGCAAGGTGTCTGTCGCCAATTAAGATAGTTCGTTTCTAAACAATGAACCCCATCGGATAGCGAATCCGCGCAGGAGAGTCGCGAGTGGAAGAACCGATCCCACCTACGAGAACGCATACTAGAGAGAACAGGCTGCTGCACCTGAAGAGCCGCGTGTGCACGTGCACGGAAGGACTCGATTAAGTTCGGTAACGCTGGTCGACCGTAGGTAGGGTAAAGGTAGAGGTAACCCAGGGTAGGGTAGCGAACGGACGAGAAAGAGTAGGGTTAGCCGAACAGCGTGTGCCAAGTGGATTACAGCGGTATACACGGCCCTCCCACGAACCACGCCTCTCCACGTGCCACCACGTGCAGCACGGCGCACACCGCCACTTGCTTCCTTTCTTCTCCACGCATTCTCATCAATTAACCGCTCTTCCCTTCTTCTCGTCCGCGTTCCTCACCCTCTTTCACGAAACAACCTCGCAAAACATGTTTAAACGCTACAAAGAAAGACAACAATTTTCGGACATTTCTAACGATTACGCAACCAATTATTTTCCCTCGTTTTCATCGTTTCTTTTATCATCGGACATCGAACTACCATCGAACATGAAACGACTACTTGTCTTCTGGTTTTCTAACCATCGTAATTTACCGCGATGCTGATCGTCTTCGAGAAATCGTCGAACAGTGCATTGACACACGCAGCGTGGAAGTCATGTACGCGATTACGTTACTAGCTGTTTGCACATCGTTCAGGTTATTTGGAAACCGCACCCATGCGCGAGTATCCGCGTTACGGAAGGTGAAACTCGCATTGTTGCAGATCATCGGGTAAACGCTACCGAATCTGTTGGTTGTGTAACTTCGAGGAATCCTGTAAATTCAACGCTTGCGAAACGTTACCTGCTGGCAATGTCACAAGATCCGATGTTAATCGCGAAGAATTTGGCAAACTTTTATCGACGAAACGGGTTTCCCTTTCCTACCGAAAACGAGGCCATCGATGTACCGATATCGAACAACCTTAGAAAATGGCCATTTCCGTGAAATTTGCAAAAAATGTAACGGCACTAGTAGGTGAGCGTAGTGATCAGCTGATCGTAACAATCGTCCCGCCTCGTGTTCCTTTCCGCGATCGAGTACGTTTGCGCTTACCGCGATATCCTTCATGAATAATTCATCCTATCAACGAGTTTCTTTTCAACGCGACGCGACGCGTGCGAGAAAAACCTCAGTCACGCAGAAAGAGAAAAAGATCGAATCTATTTATAGAGGTTGGATAAATTTTCTTTAGTGTCCTCCGTGGTCGTCGCGTTCGCGTCTCGAGGATCGTTAGATCGAATCGATCAATCGGCTCGTCCTATACAGAGGCACACCTAACAACAGGCGTTAGGTGGTGGATACGTTCGCGAACGCGCGAGAGAAAGTGGGACTTGGTGGTTCTGAGACTCGTACGAGACACATAATCGCATACCGAGATATCTTCGATTTAAGCTCGCAATCGATTCGCCCACGCGTGTTGGAAGTCTCATCCAGCTGGATGATCGTAATTAACCCTTTCACTGCTAAGTGGAGATAGTCTGTATTGGTTGGTACTGGACTGGTTATTTCAGCTGCCTCGTTTTGCAATATTTATACCGTGCTTCTCGTTACTCAATCGAAGAGAAAAATTAACGTAATCTACGGTGGTTCGACGCGTTGACTGCGTTGGTGGTCTTCGGCGACCAGCATTTACGAATTCAATTTCACAGAATATATTATAAAGCAAGAAGGAAAAGATGATTCTTAATCGCCGTTAAAGGCCATTAATTAGTATTAACACCGCGTTCTGCAACGATACCATGTTACGTGCTTTTTAGAAATTGTATATCATGTTTCGTGTACAAAGGGAATGATTTTCTGGTAGTTGAACAAATTTTTGTAATACTTTAAAACGAATCGAAAGAATCGACGAACTGTTTCAGTACGATTACGGACAAAATTGAAAGGATCGTTCCAAGATCAAACAGATAACTCTCCGAAAATTTTCGTAATGTTTAACGTCTCGTAACATTATAGAACATTATAAAATCGAGTGAATCGCTTCGATTCACGTTCCTCGATTCGTGCATAAGTTAATTTGAAAGTCTCCAAGTAGCGAGCAGTCTAAAACTGGTCCAACGAACGCAAGCCAGTGCAGCTTTCTCCTTCGTTGAATTTCGCGAAAGATTAATGACATCGTAATTGCAATTACGACTACGAGAACGCGTCTCGATCTTGACTCGTCCGTTTACGCGACAGTTTCCTTCGACGAGTTGATATCATCGCTGTCCACCGATCATTAGTAGTTCATTCATCGAACCGTTAACAGAGTAGCAGTTATCGCTAGCCTCGTAACATATTCGGTCACGACAACCTTCGGTTTCGAGAAAGGCATCGGAAGACGAAAATCCCGTAACACGCGACGATAATCGTTTTATCAAATATTTGTCGCGCGCAAATCGAACATAGAAAGGCGCATTTCTCAAGGATCTATCTTTCCCGCCAAACATTTCAAAGTCACTTTACGCAGTATACAATTAGCCGTAATTATCTTCGATCTAGCTACTTAGAGTTTGTTAAGGAGCTCTGCGCGAAAGCACAGGCCCGATTTGACTAGACTAAAATCGAGAATCCGTGAAAGCAAGTTGGTTGGACCAGGAAACTCGAGCGAAACAAATTGTCCAGATACCCTGGAAAGATTAGATAAGTTCGCGTTGAATTGACCTCTGCCGATAAAAGGCAGCAAGCGAGTACAAAGGACTCGCAAAAGTTGTAGTCGGTCGCGGCCCGGGTTAGAGTGCGGTCTTACGGTGTCGAACGAGGTGAAAGAAGAGGTTCGACGTCGAGCAACGAGGGAGGAGAGAGAGAAGGAGGATACAGAGAAGGCTGCTTGCGACACGCAGGCTCGAGCAACCAGGCTGATAGGTAGGTAGGTAGGTATATCGCCCCCTGACCCCGAAGAACTACCGTGAGACCGGCTTAGCTCCGCTCGGAGCACTCTCCTTTGCTCTCTTGGCGTGCACCGCGTATGCACACACGTATTTACACGCGTGTGTGCAGCCAGGCGCCGTAGAATAAAGAAGTGGGAAGGATACGTGGCGCGACACCACGTATGAAGAAGAAGAAGAAGAAGAAGAAGAAAAAGAAGAGGAGAAGGAGAAGGATGTGACTCGTGGGTGCAGCTGCAATGTGACCCGGCTGCA